AAAAAACCAAATGAATATTTTGTGAATATTTAAAAGTGATAAATTATAGTGGTAAATGCAAAAATTAAATTATAATATAAATTTAACTAATATATTTCCTAAAGATATTTGTATAATCGTTAAAAGTTTTCAATTAAGTAGCTTAAAATAACTTACAATAACAATAATTAAAAATAACTCTATATAAATGATTATATTGTTACCTTTAAAATAAAAAAACAATGTCGGATGTTTTAAATAATTATAATGATAGAAGTTAAATTGTTAACAATATAAATTTTAAAAAACTAATTAACAATAACGAAAACTATAAATAACATTAAGCTATATATTATATTTAATTTTATTCATGAGTAACGGGTAGAAGTCATTCAAACGGTTGAGATTATATAGTTATGTATATATTATCATATAATTCAAAATAATCAATATATTATATCAATTTAGTATACGAATTATTATATCAAATTTAACAACGTTATTGTTATATTTAAAAAAACATATATTTGTAAAAATTTCAACTATATAGATGTTTCTGCGCAACACGCACACATTTACCTAGTATGTATATATATATATATATATATGTGTGTGTGTGTGTGTGTGTGTGTGTGTGTGTGCGTGTGTGCGTGCGTGCGCGCACGATAGATCCATAGAAAATGCATATTAGGGAAATAAATATTTGAACTAATGATAAAGTGACATGTGTCATTTTATTGTTAATGGGTAAATTAGATGAATGGTCCTTATGATTTAAGCTATTTTTATGTTTAGTTCTAAAATAAAAATTACGAACTCACATATAAAACCTCACCCACTATCACAAACACAAAATTCAATATCATTTAATTGAATCTCCAATTAACTTCAATTTTCACTTGCTTCGTACACATCAGAACTAGAATCAATTAACACCTACATTTTAGGATTATTGTGAAATATCGATCATATAGGAAAGCAAATAGTGAACGGAATTTTCAATTGATAAACTAATGAATGAATCACATAAATATGATCTGATTATAAGACAAAGCAAGAACAACTTAGGAAACCGCTAATAAACTAACGAATGAATCGATCCCAGTTCCTGTCGACACCCCTCCCACCCCTACTATCTCCGGTGAAGCCTCTAACATCACTCACCATTATTCTTCAACAAACCTACAAAGATACAAAAAAAAAAAAATTGCGTAAAAGAATCTACATCAACCAAAAACCTTGAAATTTTGGCGTATACAAACCCAATACGAAACTAAATCAAAAATCAAACCCAATTTAAAACCAACTTTTATGAAATTAAAAACCAACCTGATGAAACCAAGTGTGAAAACCAAATCAAAATCTAACCCAATTCAAAACTAAATCTTTTGAAAAATCAAAACGAAATACAAGATAATTGATAAAACAGAGTGTGAAAACCAGCCTGGAAACGCCTTCTACTAAATAGGGATAAGCGTGGCACGGAACCGGTACCGACCCGTACCATTCCCGAATTCCCGAAAACCGAATTTTATCGAAATTCAATCCCGAGTACCAAACTGAATTACCATAATCGGTACCGGTACCGGGAATGGTACCGGTTTTCGGTACTAGTACCAGTACCGGTAATACCGAATCCCGAATTTCATGTATTTGGAGTACCAAGTATCGTCCCATTATTTCAAATTCGGTACAGTTCGGTACCAGTTCCGGTACGGTACCGGTACGAGATCGGGATTTGGGACAAACTGGTCATCCCTACTACTAAATTCGCTTCAATTTTGCACCTTCTCTTCCCCTTGCTCTTCCTCCGTCTGCTAATTCTTGGCCCGATTATAACGTTAAATAAGGAAACATTCTAGAAGAGGATGGTGCTGATGTCGGGTGAAAAAGATTATAGCTTCTGATGCGAAGTCCGAAGAAATCAAAATGATCTATTTGGGGCCTCCTTTAGAAGGGTGCTTCTATTCTTCAGGGTTCTAGAGTACGGTTTTGGTGTTTTTTGTGGGCGTAGATCTGGAAAAGGCATCGATTCGAATGGAAGGATGATGTTCCATAGGGAATTTAGGGTGACAGTGCTTTCTAGTGGTATCAACGACATTGCCTTCCGGTGGATATACAGTTGCTCCTTCTGTTGGTTCCGACTCGGTGGCGTCTTCTGGTTTATCCGACAAGGCGACTTCTTGTGGCTTCGAATGTGGCATCCAACGAATCTAGTTCTGTAAAGGCGAAGATAAGAAGTCTATGGTGTTTGTCTTGGGCTTAGACATATATTAAAGGGATAATATCATAAAAAACCTTAAGTTTGGCAGAAAATGTCGGTTTTACCCTTCGGCAGATTTTTGGTTCATTTATACCGCAAAGTTGTCATTTTTTTGTTGGTTTTGCCCTTGTTACCTGCAATAGCAGGTTTCCAGGTTACTATGAATTATTTTTTGCAAAAAAACCCTTAAGTTTACAAATATTTTGCAAAAAAACCCTTAAGATTATAAACATATATAAGATAAATATATATTCAAAATTTTATAAAACTAAATAGTTTTCTATTAAAACATATTTTTAGCTTTATGTACGGTAAAAAGACTTCCTTTTCATTTTGAATTCATGGTCGTCTTCAACCTCCACCTTCCTTTATCAATATCTAGATTTCCATCTTCGATTTTTTCTTTGAACATCTCATTTTTTTCCACCTTCGATTAGGACTAGATCTCTATTTGTTTTGTTTTGTTTTTTTAGTTTAATATTGATTTGGTGATATGTTTGTAGTTGGATTTAAATTTGGTTACAGAACCCCGATCTTCATGTGTTTTCCTTTTTTTTTCCTCATGGTTTGGGGTTTCTCATGGTGTTGACGTCGTGTGATATATATATATATATATATATATATATATATATATATATATATATATATATAGATTCAAATGTTTCTTACATCTATTGTGTGCTAGAATGGACCAATAAGAATTTTAATAAATATTATATGTATATTAAACGATATCCATAGTTATAATTCATTTTATGAAAATTAATTAAATTCGTCATTAATGTCAACAATAATATTATTTCAGAATGAATTCGTATCTAGAAAAATAATAGTGTATTTTAGTAGAATGAGAGTGTATTCTAGTAGAATACACTCTCATTATTTATATTCCATGTAATTTTATTGTATTTTAAATAAGTCCTGAAACAAACAAAAAACTCATACATAAAAACCTATGTATGAATTTATTTTGAAATAATATTATTGTTGACATTAATGATAAATTTAGTTAGTTTCAATAAAAAAAGAATTATGATTATGGATATCATTTAATATATATACAATTATGGAAATCATTTAATATCTATCTTTATTTAATTAAAATATTATTTAATTTTACTAAATCCATATTGGTATATATATATATATATATATATATATATATATATATATATATATATATATATATATATATATATATATATATATATATATATATATATATATATATATATATATATATATATGGGCCATGGATGTGGTTAATTATTTTGTTTTTTTAAATAATCATAAAATAAGATAGAAATGATATAAAAATCTTTTTATGTAGATAAGAGACCAACAACTAAAATTTAAAAGCCACACAAAAATTACCCTTGTGGTTTTCCAAAATCTATGCTTTAGTTCCTTACTTCAAAATATATATATATATATATATATATATATATATATATATATATATATATATATATATATATATATATATATATATATATATATATATATATATATATATATATATATATATATGGGCCCATGAGGGTTATTTATTTTGTTTTTTAAATAGATTTAGTTAAATTAATTATAAAATAAGATGGAAATGATATAAAAGTTTTTTTTATGTAGATAACAGACCAATCACTAAAAATTAAAAGCCACATAATTTTTTTTTGAAATAAAGAACTAAATCATAGATTTTGGAAAACCACTAGGGTAATTTATTAAGTTTTGTCTTATAATTATATTATTAGTTTTTTTATTATCTAAGTAGTATATTTTGATTAAAAATACAATAGATAAAAAAAATAAAAACTTAATAACAGTTGATTTTTTTTTTTGTAGAATATTAAAAGTTATTAAGTAAATAAAAAAGGTTAAATAAGCGGTAGTGCTTTAGAAGGGAGGTAAATCTAAGTAGACCATGAGTTGGGTGAAATGATGGTAAGAGTGAATTTGGTTTGTAAATCATATTGTAGAGAAATCAAATACCCTTTAACATTTTCTTTCACCTTATCATTCTACTTATTAAATCAAACATTGATATTAAAATTAAGACAAGAAATTTAATATATTCATATGTCAAAATCTTATATCCTTATCATTCTACTTATTAAATCAAAGATGGATATTTAATATATTCATATGTCAAAATCTTATATGAGTAGAAAAATAAATAGAAAATAGATAAAAGGATATTTAATTTTTCAAGCATGTATACATTAGTTTTTAATAGAGTTAACTCGATATGTAGTACTCTATAAGTGCCGAGAAATAAAGATCTGACCCCTTTTCGCCCAGATTTAGTTCTGTAAGTGGATTGTTTTACAATTTGGTAATGAGCCGTTAGTGGCGGACCAATAAAGAAAAATCAAGGGTTTGCGTGCACAATATTTTTAGAGGCTGTATTATTAGAAAAAAATTCATTTATAATGGCAGTTTCCGTCATAAACTCTGTCATTAAAGAGTTTTACTGACAAATTACGTTTGAATGTAAAATTTGAAAGATAGGACGTGCTATCCCTCCTAAATACAACGTTGTCTCTTTTTCTCTCACACAAGCTCGTTGAAATACACCTATTTAATAGAAATATATAGATAAAGATCAATGGACGGCAACTCCAAAACTTATAGCATAACGATGACAGTACATATAACAAAAGACAACACAAGGGAAAACATGGTTTTCCATATTTATTTTAATATATAGTATATGATATATGTTTTTAAATCTCGCATCCCATATGTCTCTGGATGGATCTTAGTGTAACCTGTAACAACCAATCACAAAAAATAAATATCATCTTCGGGTTAAAATATAATTTAATTATTTGTTCTAACTAATAATTACATATTAAGGTCGTTTTGATAATAATTATCTAAAACCCTTATGGTTCATAATTAAAATAAAAAATATCTACGACGATTATTAACCAAGGAAAAATGTAAAATTGATTTTGGTTGGTGCCAAAAGAATAAGGAAACTAAGGGAAATCTCCAATAAAGTTCTAAAATTTTGGTACGGTTTACGTTTTAGTCCTAAACTAATTTTTGTTTACGAAAAAATCCTAAAAACCGGCAAAAGTATACATTTTGACCCCTTTTGACCGGTTCAAACCAGAAACAAATTAATTTGGGACTATTTCATAAACTAATCTAAAATATTGGGACTATTTCACAAAATGACATAAAATATTGAGATTTTTTCTGCAAAAAAAAATATTAGGACTTTTCTGCAAACAAAAACCTTATTAATATTATTATTATTATTATTATTATTATTATTATTATTATTATTATAAACAAGTATACTAATTTTTAAATTCATTATTATTAATATTTTTAATAATACATATAAATACACTTAAATAAAAATATATTAAAGAAATTATTTAAAGGTGAAGGTGGTGGTGATGGTAATGCTTTAAGCATTGAAATCACTGCTTGTATGTCCTCACTTTGTATATGATCATTTCACATTTTTTATTATTGTTTTCAATTCAAAATATTAACACTTAACAATTTAAAAGAAGTTGTCTATTTGTAAAATTATGTATAAATAGTTTAAGATAAAAGGATTTCTCACTTTGTATATAAAATTTCTCAAGGTAGAATGATTTCTTTTCAAATTCAACAGATCCACAATAAATATTTACATTGGTGGCCCATATCAAAATTTGAAAATATTAATTAAAATATCTTATTTAATAGAAAGTAATATGATTTATTTTGCTTTATCACACTATATCTGCTATGTTTCTAAAAAAACCACAAAGATAAAGTAATGAAAAAGAGCAAGACACATGTTGGTAATTCAAAAATACTTACACACAAGACATACACGCATATCACATGCTCATTATTTGTAAACAATTTAAAAAATCAGTAGCTTCTTTTAAATTGTTAAATGTTAATATTCTGAATTAAAAACAATAATAACAAATGTGAAATGACCATATACAAAGTTTGAATATACAAACAGACATTCATGATTTCAAAGCTTAAAGCATTATCATCCGCTCAATCTTCACCTTTATAAAATGTCTTTAATATTTTTTTAATTTAAATGAATTTATATGTATTATTAATAATATTAATAATAACAAATTTAAAAAATAGTATACTTATTTATATTTTTAATATAATAATAATAAGGTTTTTGTTTGCAGAAAAACCATAATATTTTTGTTTTTATAGAAAAGTCCCAATATTTTGGATCAATTTATGAAATAGTCCTAAATTAATTTGTTACCAGTTCCAACCAGTCAAAAAGGGTTAAAATGCAAACTTTTGCCGGTTTTTGGAACTTTTTCGTAAACAAAAATTAGTTTAGGACTAAAACATAAATCGGACTAAAATTTTAGGATTTTATTGGAGATTTCCCAGGAAACTAATGGTTTGGGATGATATAAAATGAAACATATTGGGCTTTTTGAAGAAAAAAAAATTAATAGTATGATAGGTTATGTGTCTAGTCGACGCTATATCTAATTTAGCGGAATATTACTATTTTAGATCTATTATAAGACGAAAAGATGAAGCCTTAATATTACGTTTAGATGATGAATTATAAAAATGTATAAATAGGACGACATACTTGGAGCAGTCGATGTCGGGGCTGAACTTAAAAGGAAAATTAACACCACACTTTGCTGGAAGGCCGACGGCAATGCTAGGATTGATGCCAGCATATTGTGTATAAGCAGTTTTCAGGCAACCACAGGCAGTCTTGAGATCGGGGGTTGCTTGTGTGGCAACCTTCAGACTCTTAAGACCACTGCAACATGGTGCTGGCACTGCACCACCGGTCCTCACGTAGGCTAGGCATGGCAGCATCTTGCTCACCACCTGACCGCAGGTGATAGCAGCCTCTGCATAGGGTGCCGACACCACCATGCAAGCCACTACAACACATAAGATCTTAATTATTGTCACTGCCATAGTTCAATTGAACTTCAGTCAAATTAAATAGAAAGCCTAATTAACACAAGAGAGGTCTCTTTTGCGTATATAGATTTGATGCAAGAAAAGGTTATGGAGGGTACCGCGTATTTATAACGATTTCTATGTATGTGAATGTGCATATGGTTTCATAATTAAAGGCCCTAAATTTTGGTAGAATCCATGCATGTTAAATAAATGTTGTACTATGAGAGTAAATGAATCACTTATGTACTTCCTTTACTATTTTATAAAAAATACTACTTTTATAACACTTTTATAGTAAAAATTCAAAATTATTAATCAATTATTTTAAATAAATTATTAATTAAGAGATATTTTTATTAATTATATGAAATTATAATCGTTGATTCAAATAAATATATAAAATTAATTTTTAATATATATTAGAGATTTTTTATTTGTGAATTAATGAAAATAATAATATAAAATTTAAATTTAAAATATAAAATAAAGAATAAATACATTGATAAATAGTATCACCTTAATGATGATGTCTAATAAATTTAAAATAGATACATAGCAAAAGAGCTAATCATTTATTAGTATAAAAGATTAGTTATATCTTGATTTCAAGAAGGATAAGATACAAAACTTTTGTACACAGGAGCGGAACCCTTAAGGGGGCCTAAGGGGGGCATGGCCCCTAATTTTTTTTTTTTTTTTTCCTAATAACTAGTCTTGAACAAGTTGATTTTTCTTTAAATAAAATTATACATGTATCATTTACTCTTGGCCCCTTGGTAAAAAGATAATAAAAATGATAAAAATTAGAAGAAACAAACGATTTTTAACGTGATCATCACCGGTAAAGATCATGGCTAAATAGAAGGGAAATATTCCTAAAAAGGGTAATGTAACCTGTCATTAACTAAAAATGGGATAAAGGAGTAAACATAGAACAATATACAAAATAAAGTTAAGGAGGTAGAAAAGAAATAAAAAAATTAAGAAACCTGGGAGGATCTTAAGCGTGATCATCACCGGTTGCCGGAAAACAAAGTCATCGGTTTATTGTGGTTGTTGTTGTGACTTTGCTATATCTCGACATCTCCCCATCACCACATCGTGTCTAGCCTTCGCCGACTTGTTATGCTTGTCTTGCCATCACCAATCGTCATAAAAATCAACGAAGGCCATGTCTTCTTTGAAACAGATGTTCAAGCCAAAGAGTAATACGAACACACTCTCTCTCATCCTCCTGTTGTAAATATTCAGAAGGTAAACATATAAATTGGCTATGCTTTCTCTTGTATGGGTAAAGCTAATATTATTGTGATGATGCCATAAACTTTATGAAATAGCTATATTTGTTATTTGATATTAATTTATTTACAATAATTTTATTACATTTCTTATTTACTAATGTTGATCTATGAAATTAGTTTGATTAAGTTATAAACATATTTATCTTTGTTAATCAATATATTATAAAAGAATAAATGTACATTTTATGGATTTGTATTAATTATTTAGCTTAATTATTAAAGCATAAGTTTTTTAATTCATAAACCTATGAAGCAACTGAATTCATTGTTTATTTTTAATTTTTTTAGCGTTTACTTTTGTAAAAAATAACTAATTGTTCGATAATATCTATTTGATAATTATTATTTTACTTTCCTATATGTTATTGTAACGCCCGTATATCTGGGTTATTCAATTTAGAGACGATAAGTATCAAAAAATGATTTTTTGATGAAAGATTATTTAAAGGATTAATCATAACTAAGTTGTGGTATATGTTACAAGGATTTCATACATATAAAGAACGCCGAAATCCGAGTTATAACGAAGAAGTTATGACTTGTCGAAGTTTCGCGACAGAACCGACACGAAACAACGCGATGTAAATAGTAAAATTAAGTTAGAGCGATAAAAGAAGGTCTAAATCTGACTTCGTATGAGAAAGTTATGATTTTTCGAAGTTTCAACTTAGCGGTATACAGCCCAAAGTTTGAATATGAGATCGAGTGATTTTTAGCCGAAACAATATAAATGAGAATCGAATATCTCGTTAATAGTAGTGCAACGGTAAAAAGACAGATGAAATCGGACGTCGGATGGAGGAGTTATGAATTTTTAACAGACTTTTCCTGTCCCGATCTGTTAAAAATATAATAATAAAAATAAAGTCAAAATTAGCCGACAAATTCTAAATGAAAGTCGTAGAGCATAGTTTTACCTACGCGTGGATATAAAGAACATAAAAAACGAAGATCGTATGTGAAAGATACAAGTTTTTGAAGTTTGAAAATACGGAGTACGCCCAACGTACTCATGGTTCATGGTTTGGGTTGGGCCACATCGCCCTACTCCACCACTCAAGTGCCCCGGGTCCGTAAGCAGTGACGCATTCAGTCTGATCTGCTTCGTACGCCCAACGCGATGTACGCCCAATGTACTGCTTGTAGAGGGGGTACGCCCAACGTACTCTGAAGTTACGCCCAACGTAGTCGCAGGGATCAACCACTATAAATAGAACTCAAGGGCTGCCGATTTTTGTTTCTCGTTTCTTTCCTCTTATTTCTTATTCCCTCGTTTTACATGCAAAATTTACCCCAAAAGCCCCGGTGTCATCCCGACACCCGAAGCTAGTCCCGAAGTCCCAAAAATCCCGAGAAATAGAGTTATCGAGCCGAAACACTGCCCGCGAGAAGCCCAGTTTTTGGAAGATATCCCGGTTTCATCAAAGATTATTATTTTAAGAGTCGTAGTGCTGTCAAAGCATCATCTTATCATGTGAGTGCATATATAGTCGCTTTCATGAACATGGTTTTAATACAAGTATCGGTTAAATGTATTAAGTATATGTTTTGTGTGAGTTATTTGATGATGTCTGAATTATGTGTTTAAGAACATACCTGATTGTTTATGATAACTTAGGTTAAAGAGTAAACATAAGATTTGTTATAATGGTTAAGGGGTAGTATCTATTTATGAGTACGAGTGAGATATATACGGAGAATAGAATATACCATTGATCAGGAAGCCTGGATTAGACATAGTTATTCGTCCCTAGTCCGAGAGTATGGATTGGACTAAGTTAGTTGTCATTAATCCGGGAGTATGGATTAAGACATAGTAAGTTGTCCTTAGTCCAGGAGTATGGACATTACAAATAATCTATCATTAATCCGGGAGTATGGATTAAGACATAGTCGGTTGTCCTTATTCCGGGAGTATGGATAGGACATAGTTATTTGTTATTAGATATGGGAGTATGGATCAGGTCGAGAGGTTAGTTTTAGATCCGGGAGTATGGATCAAATCGAAAGGTAGTTTTTTTTAGAGGATTGATGGGGTGGGGTAAGAGTTGGTTTTATATATATATATATATATATATATATATATATACATGTTATAACATTGTGGGATTGAAATCCCTATGTACTCAGCAGGTTTTCCAAACCTGACCCACTAAGTTTTCTTTGTATCATAGGTAATGGCACAAGAGCATACGTTGGTTGACATGACGAGATATTTTGGATCATAGATCAGTAGTTATAAATAACTATTGTAAGGTCTATTTTATAGTATTTATGCTTTTGGTCTGTATCGGAACACGACATCCCAAGATTTTGTTATTTAATGAAAATACATTTCTTTAAAGAAATGTTTTGATTTATTCTTATCACATTTTGTTTTGGGAACAAATTTCGCAACATTTTCTTTAAACGATTACTTTGATTTTAAAACAAAGCATAAACAAACTGGTCTTTTCTGGCTGTGAAATTAGGGATGTCATAGTTGGTATTAGAGCATTAGTTTAAGCGAACTAGAAATTTGTAGGATTTCTAGACTTAAACTTAGCATGCTAAGTGATGATCGTGAGATGAGTGTCTACCATATTTTCGACACGAGCACTAGTATATTTTAGGAAAGATACCAAAAAGGCTTTTATGTGTTAAATGCTATATGTTTGCCATATATGAAATTGTTTTTTGGATCTATGGTCTGTTGCCGATCGAATCTGGAAACATTATGTGTTTAGGATTCTAAGCGTACGACTACAGTATTGGAACTAACATGTAAATGTTTCGGAGTGATAAGGATGATTTAATTATCTTTCGTGATTGAGGATCTAAATTCATATTCGGTGTGTAGATCAAAAATGGTAAGAACCAGAAGTGGAGTTGTAAATGTGAACGAAGACAGGAATCAACCACCTGTGATTGAGCTTCAGTAAGTACTTATTGTAGCGGTAACACCTGAGCCACTAACAATGGATGGTGTACAATTAATGATTCAGACGATGTTGGTTCGTCAAATGGTTGAAACTAGGCGTCTGTTTCGGCAGAATCATGAAGAACTTTCATTGCCGATTGAACAGCCCGAGTTAAATGAAGGGCATTCGGAAGGAGGTAGCATCAGTGGGATTGTTAGTCAAGCCAACCTATTGTTGGTCAGACAAAACAAACTAGAGGGAGGAATTGATGGACTTGGATGCAAGTACAAAGACTTTTTAACTTGCAAACATCGACCTTTACTGGAAAAGAGGATCCGATCGGAGTTATGGATTGGATCTTAGAAATGGAGCTAGCCTTCATGATGTGTGGTTGTAGAGGCAAGTTGCAGACCATGTTCGCAGTACGTCAGTTCAGAGGTGATGTTGTTCGTTGGTGCAACACTCTGGGGAAGACCCTAAGCCCTAATGAGCCATTGCAACTGACTTGGGAAAAGTTCTTGGTGCAATTAAAGCGCAAGTTCTGCTCGGCCCAAAATCTACTATATTTGGAGAACAAGTTTTTGACATTGACAAAAGGCAGCATGTCAGTTGATGAATACACTAATGCCTTTACAGACAAGATGGTGTTTGCTTTGCGCATCGTCCCAGACGATCTTACTAAAGTTGACCGGTACGCAAAGGGACTCCCATGGGAGTATGCGGTACCAGTGTGTCAGACACTTACTCTGGAGGTAGCTATCTGGGCTGCCAAGTTTGTTGAAGATATGATTAAGGGAAGAATCGCTAGTAAGGTTGAAGTTGGCGAGAAAAGGAAGTTTGAAGGATCCTCAAGGTCCGATGAGAAGAGAAAATTTTCGAAGTCTGGTTCGAAGGAGTTCGAAGAAGAAGCACAATGGTGTGATAAGTGCAAGAGGAAGCACATTTGGAGATGCTCTAAAGAAATGACCTGCTTCAAATGCGGGAAGACTGTTCATTATGCCAGTGAATGCACAAACAAAAGAGAAGTCTACTTTAAGTGTGGTGAAGAAGGACACTTCAAGCAAAACTGCCCAAGAAGGTAAGAGGTTACAAAGCTAAATGTGCTGCCAAAGCCAAAGGCAAGAGCATTTCAAATGATCCTTGATGAAGCAAATGGCAATGCAAGAAATCAGGAATAACGATTTTATATCTAAATATCAAGTTATAAAGTAGTGATGTGAACAGTAACACGTGGTGTAGCCTATTAAAGGCATAATATAGGGTGAACTTGAACTTTTGTGTAATAGTTTCAAGAAAATAATATAAACCCTAGTTTTGTTATTTGGCGTGTTAGATGATTGTGTGATTTTCTTGTGAGGTGACTTGGATTGACTGCGGGACAATACTTGGGACGAGTATGAGTAGGTGTTAATGGTAGTAGAGGCCTATACTACCGGAAGCACAAGACTTACGCTTGGATCAGGGAAAGTCACAAGGTTACCTGTTACCAAGAAGTTAGTAATTGATTTCGTTTTATTCAAGTATGTCGTTACCATTGTTTCGGTAGTGACTGGTAAGATGGTTGTTATTCCGACCCTAGTGGTCATATCAAAATGAGTTCGACTATGATGACTTTGCTACATGGTTTAGAGAACCAAGTTTGATGTAGCGTTTAACTTATGTCAGAAGATTGAAATCAATGCGATCGATAGTGTCGCGCTCGTTGTTAGAGAAGTTGGTAGCTAAAATGCTAAATGCTAAAATGTGATTATATCGCATTAGAATATGAAGGAAGATGCATTTCATAATGGATTTTGACTCTAAGAGACCTGAG